CTTCATCAGAAGCTGGGCCCGTTTGCGCGGGTTGAGGATGCGGTATTCCTGGAAGGCCTTGTACGAAGATTGGATGGCGGCGTCGACGTCCTCGACTGCATTGTCCGGGCACGAGGCCCAGACCTTGTCTGAGCCGGGGTCGATGATGTCGAAGCGCTTGCCGCTCTTTGCTTGAACCCATTGGCCGTGCACGTAGGAATCCTGGTGCAGCAGGTCTGGGTCCTTTAGTTCAAAGGGGAGATTAGGAGCCATGGTTTTTTGCTTCGTATAGAATGGTCTTTGGCTACGAGCTGGATTGAATGGACGAACGGGAAAGAGAGGGATGTGCAAAATGTGGTTGTTTTGTAATATCAAGCAGCGGATCCCCGAGGGAGAGGGAGAAGGAGGGATGCGGCGAAAGATGCTCGTCATTGGTGTCGACCCCGCAGTTGTCCTCGATTTTCCCCTTTGCCTTTTGCCTTATGTCTATCTCGAGAGACAGAAAAGAAAAACCCCTCTCCCGATATTGGAGAAGGTGCGACGAGCGGCATTCTCGCGCCTGGGGATCGAGGGCCATACCGAAACATCTTCGTCCAAGCTTCGATGCTGCTAGTGTCTCGAAAATGCCGGCGGATTGCGAACTGTTGTTACTTCTCCAATTCCGAAAATGGTGGTGACCTCGGATCCGATACCGGGACGGAATGTGCCACCCTGGTTTTTCCATGGGAAACTAATCCCCCTCTTGATTTAATCCCACCCAAGGCTGTCTGGGATGTCATCAAGGGTGAGATCTCTCAGTCAGTCCCCGTTCGACTTCTGCCATAGACACCGCCGGCAAGTACAGGTTTGGCAGGATCCCAGGGCCCAATCACCACGTTCTTATACCGCTGGAGCCCGATCAGCCACCATGAACATCCTCCCATGACAAATGCTGTGCTGAGTCCTCCGACTATAAATCCGATTGTACTCCGAAGAATCACATGCCAGATCCAACCCCAGCAGAGCCCACAGTTGCCATATGTGTGTGTATAGGATTTGGATAAAACCAACCCCAAGCCGCAGGTGGACATAGTTACCAGCGCGAAGGTGAGAAGCAGATGTAGCTTAAACGAATTGTAATGGAGATGCCGCCGGAATACCGGAAACAGACCAAACACTTGGATCGAAAACAGTGTCAGGCTGAACACAGCAGTAGTTGTCATCAGGCGCGAAGCAAGCACCGTGCTGGCCATCAAGGCTGCATTGGTCGATAGAGAGGACGGAAATGGAGGCGGCCGGAAAGTATTACTCAATTGAGGGGGTGCTGGGTCCGTGGCTGTGGCGTTTGATATTCCAGGCACTCGCCCCGCATTCCCTGGCTTTTTGGGCAAGTAAAGGCTTCCATAGTCGAAGAAGAATATGTTGATGATGAGAAGCCATGTCGCCAGCGCCCATATGGAATCTGATGATGTCGATCTTGTGAGGGACTTGAGGATAGGCGACAGCCCCAACAGAGCAAAGTAGATCAAAGAAGCAGATTTGAGCGTTTTGAGCCGCGCTTGGTTTCGCGGAGATATCGTAGCCGGTAATGTGGTTGGACTATACACTATGCTGGGAGACTGGGGTGCTTGTGGTCGGGAGGTCGTTGGCCGCAGATCTGGAAACGGTTCCACTGAGCTCTCGCCCAATGGGTCGATGGGAGAAATCGACTGGAAGGATGATTTGGACAAGGACTGGCCATGCTTCCCAGGGAACTTGGATTCGTGGTTCTTGACTCCAAGGTCGGCGGTCGAGAGCTTCAGACCAACGCCTCGGCCTGCCAGCGTGCCGTTCACATGGCCATTGCCGACATGGCCATTGCCGTTCATATGAAGTTTGGAAGAGCCTCCAGAGCTTGTACTTGAGCCGTCGTCGACGTCGACTGAGAGCCGGTTCGCCTTGTGAAGTGCCGCCAACTCTTCTGCTTCCTGTTGACCCATCCAATGGTCCCACACAATCCAACCACCCACCGTCAGAATCGTGCCACAGGTTACCACCGAGACAGGTGACAGACGGCCTTGGTAGATTCCGGCATAGGCACATATGAAGATGGCCACGGAGCAAACGTGCTGCACAATGACAGCTGAATCTGCCACCAATGGCCAGAAATCGTAGGGCCTCAGCCGCGGATTTCGCTGCAGGTGGTCCAGAAAGGTCTCGGTGTCGGTATAGTTGTCAGGGAACCCATGCTGCTTTATCCACAGTAATTTCTTCCAAACGTGAGGTTGCTTCCGTCTCTTGCTGGCTGCCCGTAGTCTCTCTTCGGCTATTCTAGCAGCGACTGGGGGGATAGCTGGCGGTGCTCGTAGAGACGCAACTGCTGGTCGGAGAGCAGCAGCGGCAGCACTTGCGGCCGCAGAGCCACTGATCTCAGGCACCGGCCGCAGTCGGGGCGGTGAGAAAGTCTTGTATGCATCTTCGGGAGCAAGACGATTCGGATCTGGGGCAATTCGATTGACCTGTGGTTTGCCTCGGTTGGGATGAGTCTCGACAGGTACCGGGGGGGGTATGGGAGAGGGCGCCGGCGAGGGAGTTGGCGTGGACGTGGCGCTCGAAGTGGTGGGAGTGGTCGCGGGTTGTGGCGCCATTTTGCGCCTCCTGTTGTTATCTTGGGATCATTTTGAGCAATAACTGGGCATCGAGATCGTCTGACTCGACCACCACGGGCGAATTAACGGGTATTGAACCATCAGTAACGTCTTGAGGCCGGTATCCTGGATATCTGGACATTCAAGAAAGTCTCCCTGCGGAGTGCATTAAATCCCTTTCATCAGGCAACTTAGCCGAGAGTTTCATCAACGTCTCCGATCCTGGTCTATAAATCATTCAGGCGGCTTGCTCATTTTATCCCGTCATCGTTGATCTCCCTCATGCACCTCTAAGTGCAGGTTGCGTGCGTGAGGGTTAATAAAATGATGGCGAAAGGGGGTGCAAGGGATACTACGAGTAATCAAATGTGAAGAGAAGGCTCGGATGGCGGTGCCACATCAGGGCTCAGCTGCTCAAGAGATGCGGCCTGTAGTGATTGCACAGTATCACCATCGTTAGCAATTGTTCCCGATATCTCCATACGCATATCAATACCTCACTAACTCTGCCCAGTGAAGCGGCCTCAGCAGGAGAGGGAGACCACTGACCCAATCCGGAAATGAAAATTCTACCAATCAGACGACGCCGACGTCGTTGGTTGGTCAGCTCTCGTGGAAGTTCTTGACCATGAAGCATTCGAGTGGGAGAACACAACCGCTCTGCAAGAGTTTCCACTTTGGGATGTTGTGGCTGCTGCTCCCTTACCGGAGCCCTCGAATCTATTGTTGTTATTCTTCTGCTGTGTCATCCGCCCGAGGCCAACACCACTGCAGCAGGACCAGGCTCTCTATTGGGAAACCATATGGCTCGTAGGAATTACGCGCCGCTGAGACAGTATGGAAAGAGACGGAACTGGCTTGCCAAACTCAAGGTCATGAAGGCGGGCAAGGTCCAAGCCCTGCAAGCATATAACAGAGTCAATCTTGTGCAGCAAGAATTCTCCGTCCATCATCGCAAGACAAAGTCAGCAAGATACCAAACCAGCCTCCAAAGCACAATTCCTATCCTCACCATCCATCAAGCCAGCACCTCATTCCCAAAGTCATCATGTCTTTCGCCAATACCATTCTCGTAACCGGAAGCAAATCCGGCATCGGCAAAGGATTGCTTTCCACATACGCATCTCGCCCCAGCACACTAGCCATTGCCGCCATTCGAGATGGGCCTGATTCTGCAGCTGCCAAAGCCCTGACTTCCCTACCTGTTGGCCCTGGCAGCAAGATTGTGGTCGCCAAGTACGATGCCTCATCAAAAACAGCGGCTGTGGACCTCGTCGACTTCCTCAAGGCGGTTCAAAACATCTCTGCCCTTGATATCGTGGTGGCCAACGCGGGCATTTTGAAACACTTCGGTCCTGCCAAAGAAGCTTCCGCAGAAACCATCATGGAGCATTTGGAGGTCAACACTTTAGCGCCCATATTGCTCTACCAGGCCACCCAAGAACTATTGAGTGCCTCTAAGCAGACACCAAAGTTCTTTATCATCTCCTCCAATATTGGCAGTAACACTCTCCAAGACAGCTACCCGTTGCCAATGATCGCGTACGGTATGTCCAAGGCAGCTGTGAATTGGGCAGTAAGCCGAATTCACCGGGAGGAGGATCGGATTGCTGTGGTTGCCATGCAGCCAGGTTGGGTTCAGACAGGTATGTCTCCTGCATGGTGATTTCTCATGCAACGGTGCTGACTTTGGATTGAACAGCCATGGGCAATACTGCCGCCGAGTTCGCAGGTATGAAGGCAGAAGAGGTTCCAGTAAAGTTGGAGGATTCTGTCAATGGATTGATCTCGGTGTTCGACAAGGCCGACAAGACCACGTACGGTGGAAAGTTCTGGGATCAGAATGGCGTTCAGATGCCTTGGTGAGCTTTGATATGGATTGATAGGTAGACGGCCAAATGAGAATATGCTGAAACCTTTATCAAGCGTCTTCCTACTGTACCCCAGACCGAAGTATTCTTTGGGTTCCTGGCAAACATGCTGGTTGGACCTGAGACTATCAGTCGCAAAACTTGGAATACCTACCTCATTTTGTCAGACTTGCCCAGAGTGGACTAACAGCACAAACGCCATCCTTTTCCTTTCCCTGCGAGCCTCAAATTAAGATTCATCAGAGTTTGGATGCAGAGGTCACCTGGCTATGCCAATTCCTGGAGATGGGGAAATGGCCACCGAGCCAAAATCGAAAACTGAACCATAGCTCACATCTACACCCTACTCCATACATCGTTTACAAAGTCCCTACGGATGCAAAGCACGGGTCCGAGGAAAATACATACATCCCCATGAAGGACGATCCTACATACAAAGATGATGTTCGCCGTTTACAGTAGGTCTCGCTGGCCTTCACGGTAGCTCTCTGCTGGCAACCCTTCACCAACCACGGAGACAGCATACGGGACAATGTTACACGGCCTACTCGTCGAGATACAGTGGCGCTGCGGTTTCCTCAACAAGCACCGTGACTTCGACAGTCACAAACACCAAAACCGACACAACTATTCCTGTCGTGACTGGCACTCCGCTAGCTGCATTGACAGCTTCGACAGTGACATCCACTGTCACGACTACAATTAGTTTGTCAGAGGCGACGGTGGGTTCCTCGATCCCAGTCTCGTAAGGCTGTTTGACAGAGTTTGACTAACGAGCCGTACAGGATACCCCGACCACAACTCTTACGGAGATTGATACCAGCACTTCAACAGCGCCGATATCCACGGCTACTGATACCACCATGACGACGACCTCAACCCACCATTACTACCGGGACGTCGACCGTACCTATAACATCCATCCAGCTGCCTGCCCATCCTGAAGACGCTGCCCGGTTCAGCGGCAAAGCGAAAGCGGGATTCGGCGTCGAGAAAGCTGGATTCCAGACGAGCCGTCGTGGACAGGTACCACTCAAACCGTGACCGGCCCAACCCTGGCATCCACCATCCCCATCACTGTGGTGGCACCAAGCACCACCTGGACCTACCTTGACCAGCACGGTCCCAGCATTTGTGGTGTTTGCGGCATGTCGGTGTACGGCTATTGGATTTCCGGCGTAATCTCTGACCTGGCTCTGGGGTCGTTGGCGTTACTGGGGTCACGACAGACACCGCCGAATACAACTGCTGCATGTCGTGCATCACCCATCCAAACTGTGCCATCGGCGGCTTCTTCGCCCCACATCCGGCCAGCGATTAGTGCCAATTATTCATCGCCATGACGGTACCACCTGCTGCACCCCGGGCCAGTATGGCTTCGCGGCTTTGGTAAATGATGACGGACCTGATAGTGACGGCTTCCCTTTCAACGGCAATTGTGGTGAGGTTGGCGGTGCCCATCAAAAGAATGGGTGGTGGTTTGGACTGTCTTTTCTCGCACTTTTGTCGTGGTGCCAGCGCATTCTGGTGCATCTGTTCTGTCTAACTGCTTGATTCATCAGTCCCGAACCCCCACAATTAATACGCCTTAATTTGCGCTGCAGAGAAGAACGGCAGCATCTAGTCTTGGAGCAGTAGATTTCGCATAGCTAGGGACCTGTTCTGCAAGTATGTAGGTCAATGAGTGAGAGCTGCTTGGAGGAAGAATAAACCATTTATGAAAAATGATCCACGGACGCCCGGGAATCGTCTCTATCATCGTATTACTCTCGGCAAACTCGGCATACTCGACCCGTCATGTTAAATGCATTGCGATGGGATTCCCGCCCAATTAGTTCAGCTGAGGTCGAACTCTTTTTGTGGTGGTCGGTTGAACATGACTTACTTTCCCTGGGAAGTCGAATTTGAGATGGGGAGCAAAGGCTAAGCATGAAGTAAGGTAAGGAAGGCATCCTTACACAGTCGAGCTTATTTGCATCAATGCCATGCGTATTCGCGTAAGGAGTCGGCTTGAGTACAGGGGCCCAGTGCCATTTAAGAGGGACCCATCAGCGCCATGCACACCCCAACTGACCCCGTCAAACCACTATTGTCGTCATTCTCGGCCCAGCCACAGGAACGCGTATGAAGTCTGCTCTGTGTGCCACGAGTTCGGCTTCGAACACCAAACCCCTTTCATCACCGGAAACCCATAATCGAGCAGCCCTAATGCACAATTGATGGAATCGGCAGGACTTTAGGGAGCACAGCCACCATTGCCAAGTCGGAGCAAACAAATCTTCTCAGCGCCGCTTGGTCGAGACATATCATTTCATCGATAGCAATCTGCACAGGGTGCCCCCGGAGATACGGTTTCAACTTAAATGGTATGATGGCTGCCTAGATGCGCGCGGATGGCCCTTCTATCAGATTTTGCGGCCCTCAGGTTTGGTTAATCGTCTTGCCTAGTTAATTATGAGGCTACGCACCAAGAAGTCATTCTGATCATACCACTCTCGTCCATCTCCATAAGCGACGAAATTCGGGTGAGTCAACAAAGATGGTTTATAAAGGACCCAGTAAAGGATGTCACTCGTGTAGGAAACGGCGTGTCAAGGTACGTCGCGGACCAGTCCAGTCTCGCTGCCCAATATCATACTGATCGATCAAGTGCGATGAGAAACGGCCTCAGTGCGGCAATTGCTTCAAAAGGAAACAGCAATGCCCCGGATATCGAGACTTGTTCGACGCTGTCCACAAAGACGAGACGTTCATCGTCTCGCATAAGAGCGCCCCGAAACGGCAGAAAAAGATACACACCCCTGCTAACAATTTAGGGGACAGCACTCCCAACCTCACGAATACGCCGTCGCCGACGAGTGATGTCGATTGTGCCCTTGATCTTGCTCTCTTGGCGCCACCGTCGCGAAATGTCGAGGTGGAGTCGCTGTGTTACTTCTTCACCAACTATGTCAATATTCCCCGAGATCCGAGTACCAACATCTTCATCGAACACATCCTTCCCATATACTTGAACACCGCCCCTTATTCGGCGTTGGCTGAAGCTGTCAATGCGGTCGCTGTCAATATCACAGTCATGTGGATGACCCGATACGTCGATTCTTACCGTGCTCGAGAATCTTACGCAAGGGCCGTCACTCTCTTAAAATCTTTGCTGCAAGACCCTGTGGAATGCAAAACGGACGAAACTCTGGCCACAGTGTTCATGCTCGACTTTTACGACTCCCTCAATCGGCGGTTTGTGCACTTTGTTGACACGGGCACCCACCAGCAAGGTGCGGTGGCTCTGCTCAAGCACAGAGGGAAAGATGACTTCAACAGCCCGCTCTCCCAGCGGCTCTTCAATGCCATGAGAAGTCGCCATATCAATTATTCGTTACAGTACGGGCGAAAGGTGGAGCTGGATCCGGAACTCCTTGCCGAAGACACCGCAGTCCTTCCTTCCGCAAAGCTTGATCTGTTAAATGCTGAGCTTGCAGAATTGCATGTATTGGCCGGCGAGGGCCCTGAAGGAGCTGGCCTCAGCTTAGCCGACTTCTATCGGGTCATTTTGGAGAGGGCACTTGCCCTCGAGAAGAGGCTGCAAGCGTGGAGGGATGCGCTCCCCAGGTCATGGCAACCGGTATCTATTCCGGCGTCCGAATTACATCAATCCATCCGCGACGCTGGCGTCTATGAAAACATGTGCGACGTTTATTCTTCCCTCGCAGTCTCTCACGTCAACAATGCAGCTCGGAGTTCTCACGGTGGAGCACTCCGTCTTATTGCATTATGCATCAGGGGCCTTGAGGACCTCGGCATTGCCGTTGACCCGGAAATCGAGCCTCACGTCGACCGGCAAATCCAAGAGATCGTGGACAGGTTCTGCGCTTCGGTGCCGTTCCATCTGGGCAACAGAACCACACCGGCGTTTCCCGACGAACACAGGGAATACCCCCATGTGCCTGTGGAGCTTCGTCGGCTGGCGAATTACGTCGACCCGTTTGGAAACGAGGTCGAGATGACCATGGAAGACCACGTGCGCGCTGCCGCGGCCATAGGCGGCTGGTTCATCATGGCGCCGCTGGCGGGATTCCTCAAGGCGCGAGCGATGGGGGTTTCGCCGTCGAATCCGATCGCAAAACCCGGGCCCTTGATGGGCAAGATCAGAAAAGGCCAGATTGCTTGGATCCGTGGCCAAATGGAACGGATCCAAAAGATCTATCTGTTTCCAACCAATGCTAGCCCGACCGAGCAGGACTGGAAGTGGGTCATGAGGCAAACCTGCCACGGGACTCGTGTCAGAGGCCACAATCTGTTTGCACCATTATATTTCAGCCAAAGAATATGGACAGCTTAAAGCAGCGCGCGGCAAAATCTCTTCATGCCTTTGGCAAAGTCTATCAAGCATGACAATGTGCGACTCACTTGCGTGCAACTCGACGGCGCAGTAAGACTCACGAAGGATACAAACCCGGTCTTGCGCCAAAAACTGCTGGGACCACGGTAACCCTTTTCCTGACTCGAATGCTATAACTGCTGCATTTCTGTTCAAGCATAGATTCAAGGTCCCTTTGTGAATTGGGGAGCTGGAGTGTGTAAAAGCCGAGTTTGGGAGGACCTGCACGAGGAACAAGTGTGAATTCCCAGGTTCGAGATTGGAGGAAGGACAGAGGGTTTGCAACTTTGAACTTTCTGCCTGCAATGGGAAGGTTGAAGATGCGAAGGCGGGACGATTCTTCTAACCATATTACCACGTTATTGCGACTTTGAAGCATGACATGTTTCTTTGTAGTAATGAATTCTATTACGCCACAAGTCAACATGACTGGCTCCGACCATACCTTACTCATTCAGTTTCTCGTGTCTATATGTATTCGGATTTGTCTCGTCTGACACTGATACTCTGGAAAGACCATGGCCAAATTCCTGCCACATTACTACTGGTTGTGTGCCACGTCTCTCTCCCTCGTCCCTCCTGTCGGGCTTAGTATGCAGAATCGTGCATGGAAGGAAGATTAAGCGTCGAAATAAAAGTTCTGACATGCATTTGCTGGGAAATGGAGGTAGGGGGATAGTTGCCTCTTTTGGGAGGTGTGTGTCTCGTTTTGGGAACCCATTCGAGCCATGTGGGGTTCTTGCTGGGGCGAAAGCTGGTTAAGCGAGGCTCCGGCGGTGCGGATAGGTATGTAAGTGTTGGCGAGTTGCATGTCTCGATGCGTGTTACCTATGTAGGTATTAGTATCGTACGAAAACCCTGTCCTCCGTCGTCCATGTATGATCAGCCGTGAGCCGAGGGGAGCAAAGTCTTCGCCAAGTCTTTACAATAAGCAAGATGGAGTAAAACGTCGTCATAGATCAGCACATTAGTGCTAAAGTTAAGTCCAGAAGTTGATGTGCTCTGGACTAGGCATGGCACCGAATAAATCCTGCTCCGTAGACGAGTCGAACGCACAGGCCCACAAGTCTGGGTCATCAACTTCGGGATTCCTGTGCAATAGTTGCGTTGACATCCGGTATCCTTTCTGGATCTTTCGTGAGGCCTCGTGAATCGAGGGATCCGAAGTCTCACCAATAACCAAGCAGCGAGATTGATGAGGAGGCCTGTCGGCAGCCAGACAAGCGACAGGATGCCGGAAGAGCACACGCGAATTCAATAAGAACACATTCAGAGGTTTCCGAACGCGGATCTAGGGTCTGGTGTACGGGCGCAAATAACGTATAGTTGAAAGAGCCGGGCCAGAATATATCATATCGTAGTTTCATTGGCTCTCACTGGTACTCTGGCTTTTCAAAAGGACCTGGCGTCGAAATGGAGAGGGTGTCACGTTGCTTTCGGTCGAAAATCTCCCTGTTGCCTTGCCTCTTGTAGTCAGTCCGACGCCGTATTCCCGGTCACTCGGCGTTCTTGACTTCTGCAGTAGGGATCATCACAGTTCACCACATCAATCGACGGCCGAAGAACCTTTTGGTAGAAGACTTGGACTAGGCAAACACCAGTAGACGAACTCACCACTGACCAAGAAGTGGTTGACCCTGTCAGGGGCCAAGGCATAGCTTACATTTCCGGCAATGTATTACTTATTAGTGCCCAGTAAGTCGTGATGGAACAAGGAGCGACTTATAAGAGTACAGCCACTCAATATCGAAGTTGAATTCCCTCCTTTGCGGAAAACGTCCGTGCCAGCATCAATTTGATAGCTTACGGCGTCCGTGTTTGTTAGACTGATAAATCGCGAAGATGGGCTTCTACCACATTGGTAATTGCTACCTTGTCCCATCATCCCTCGATGCAGAGCAAGCTGACGGGACCGAAAATGCCCTTCCCAAGTTCAAGAAGGATATCGAGCCGAAGGATCTTGAGAGGTTTGCTTCTGTGTGTAGCACATTCCTCGGGGAAGTCTCAGGTATGCAGGAATCCCGCGGCCTCGGAGGCAAACCACTCTCAAATGCTGGTGGATGCCGATGATACAGGCCTGGTTGCCATGAAAACGGGCCCGCCACTTGTAGCCACGAGCGCGCAGGCAAGGGATTCGAACACGCTGCTGTGGCGATCCTAGAAGGAACCCCGTTTTTGGAAGTCTATGTCGAGCCTCCTATCCGCGGCGAGTAAGCGGATGAGACACAATTTACAAACTGTATGCCTGGTAATCCATGGTTGGCATACCGATCGCGCTCGTAGGGAAGATCGCCGACGAGACTCTGGCTTTTGACTTGGAATTTTAGCAAGGCGACGGACAGAAAGATTATAGACATGCGGGGTTGGTAGATAAAGTAATGTCTAAAACATCATGAGGGCATTTGGTGTTCATTCGGATCCCCGTTGACCGTAAAAGAAAACAATTCAATCATCCTGTCACGAGCCCACCGTTGTCCCCAAGTACTCTACGCCCTCCACCCGAATCGGGTGGACGGTATAGAAAGAAAAGGAAAGGATAAGGCAAAGGACGGTTGAGGCACAAGGCTATCGGTTAACGCTGCCTTACCCTTTTCACGTGACAGAAAGAGGGGAAGCTATAAGAGTCTCCTCTCACCTGAATCGGCTGAGAGAGAACTCTTCCTTTTTCTCAAGCGTTGAGTCGTTGTCAATAGGGCTACGTAAATAGAACAAGGCATTCAGCTACTCCAATTCCTTTGTACCTACTGCGTTGCGTAGGTCCCTGATACATCCTTTCTGTGTCCGATACTATAGCTGCAGCCAGAAACGTGCTCGATTCAATGTCTCTGTCAATTCATGCAAGTCTATTATTGTCTATAATATATATTGATACAGTCTTAAGATTCGCAGCTTTTACCACGGCCGGGATTTTCGCCTCTCGTGCGGACACACCTCTCCCTCTACCACGGTTTTGATAGCTACCTACGCAACCGACGCTTCTCCATTGCTCTCCACCACTGCACTGGTAGTATTTCGGGCCTTCATCACCTCCTCGACACTCCCAACCACTCCCGTGGTCAGGGATAAGCCCTACTTCTGGAGGAGTGCCTTCTTCGCGTCCGGTCTTTATTCGGCTACTACACGATCGTGCCCGCGGTGAAGGTGATGCTGCTTCGGTTGTTGTTGTGGAGGTAGTGGCGACCGTGTTTTGCCACGAAGAAGGGTGCGAAGAAATGCACCCTGCCCGCTTGCTTGAGCGTTGCCATGTCAATGGACTCGAGAGGTTTGATGGCAAGCGGATCACCGGCCGTGAAGACGATGTGGTCCAGTTCGGCATTGATTTGCTGGAAGACCTGCTTGACATTGGACTCGAGCGTAGCTCCATCGACCAGCTTGGACGCGATGCCCGTGATTTTGGTCTTGTTGTGCGGGTCGGCTTTCTGGAGGCTTGAGATGGTCGAGTCGATTTTGGACTGGTGCGACGATGAGACGTACGGATTGGCGACTCTTCGACGCAGGCTTCTGCGACGCCGATGATCAGGACAGACATGCCCTCCAATTTATTGAGATATATGTTTTGAGCCATGTTTGTCAACAGTATTCGATTCCAGAGTGATTGTGGTTCTTTACGACCATGATACCAAGTTCCAAAGTCGTCCTTCGGCACTGCTTGATTTAAATGGCGGCACTGCTGTTCGGGTCGAGTTTGTCGCCAGGCTTTTTCACTAGCAGCACGCCATCAAACGTTCCATGCACCAAGCAACAGGCCCTCGCCCCTCCATCTTCGCAGAGCTATAACAAATTACGGGGAAATGTTCTCCCCTGCGTTTCTGATTCTTTAAAGCTGGTACATTGTAAAGGTTGACTATTGACCTTTTTTTTCCACCAATAGATCGATAGGCTAGCAACCAGCAAAGTGATTCCATTGGCCAAGTCAACTTCCCACAAAAATTGCAAGATATTTTGACTGCCCACATCAGAGCGAAATCTTTAGTATAAGTTGATAAAAAAAAAAAGGTGATAGTTTGAAACCCTCGACGAGGAATCAGAAAAATCCAAGTGTGTAAATTGTGTCGTCGTCACCAAATATCAAAAGACCCAACTTCCAAGTCTTTACCCTCTCCATTCATTGTCTGTGACCATAGCTGTACCCTCTGATTCGATGCTTGCCGTCTGCCCGGAGAGCGAGGGGATAAGCACTCCCAGGAACTGCGAAGGCAACGCTACGCGGCTGCGTCTGGGAGATGGCTGCCCCAGCACTGTCTTGGCTCGCTCGTAGATCCTGGCCATCTGTTTGGCTTGTTGGCCGCGCTCTGCAACGTCATCTTGGTTGAAGCCGAGAAGAAAGCTTGGGTAAACGCGATTACGCATATAAACCATTAGGCCGGGGTGGCGCCTTGGACTCCCGAGAGACGAAGATGGCTCAGGGCGGCGTGAAGGCTCGTGGTTGCTTTGACTCTACCTCGTATTACCGTCGCAGAGAAATGAAGCTCCCCAAGTATATGAGATTACTTCACCTCGATGATCTTTCAAATGGATTAATACACAATAACTGATATTTCATTGTACTCCTTTTCCGGAAGGAACCAAAAACCTAAACATCCCAACTTTTAGTCTCCTAAATCCTCATTCTACGGCACCAACGCCCTCCCATTCCGCCCACTGTCAGCATGGCCACCACTAAAGACAAGCTTGTCTGCTTCTGTCCTATTTCCTAAGGTTGTCGAGTCGTCAGAACACCCAAAGCGGCCCTCGGGAGCATATGCGCTGCAGGTGCCGGGGAGAGGGCATAGTATTGGTATGACCTCGATATTGAACACAAAGGTCAGATTGACTCTGCGTACAGGCTGTATAAGGCATTGTCGTCCTCTTATCTGAGACAAGTCCTCTGGACAAATCCAAGTGAAAGTTTGATGCACATACTTTCACGGTCACCTGTGATGATGCCCAACGCCCGAGTCGTCGATCCGCAATGGGATCTTGTATCATGAGAGGCACCTACAAGGCGATGGGTGAGGGTAAGGTGGAACAGCATGTAGCCGGGGCTGAGGCGATTCGCGAAACGTGTAGCGAGCCAAGGCACCAGCAGTTGGCCCATCAGCCCCGCATAGTGTGCATCAACAACCTCGGATCTCAACTCTGGTGACCTTCTTCCTGTTCCTACCACCGATTATCCACCTCATCATGGACCTTCTCTTTCATCTGTGCAGGCATGGCTGGAGGAGCCAGTCTCATAACACAAACTAGTGGCTTGACACAAACCCAAGATGGGGCATTCCTTTTACTTCGTCTTCGTCTCCCTTCGGTGCCTATTCGAAGATTTGCTACGACGAAACGTGAGCAAGTTGATCTCGGTCCTCCTTGATACTAACCACTCCCGGTCACTTGCCTCGGTATTACTCTGCTTGCACTAATCGGACAACAAGAGTTGTTGCAGTCTGTCGAGGATCAGCGGCGCATTGATCGTCTTCTGACCCAGGTGTGCAATGACTATTCACTGAAAACCTAAGAAAAACGAACTTCCAGATTCTCATTGCTGATGATACTGCTTCTGCGGAGCGGTTTGTATACCGCCGATTAAGATTAATAGTGAGCATACGCAAAGAATCTGCCAGTGTTGACGTGGGCTTGCGGAACTTTTGAAATTTACTCTTAAGAGGCTGATTTCCGATCTAAATTCATCGATATGGCCACCCAGAAGACCCGGGAGCCCCAGAAAAACCGCTCCAAAGGGATAATACATTCTGAGGACGAGGTATCGAGTCAGCCATGGGGAATTTTGGGCAAACCACTAACAGTGGCAGCGAGCTATTCCGCTCTTTTCCACGAATCAGACCTGTGACAAGAAGTCGCTCTCTGCCCAGCGAATCGAGTACTTGACGCCTGAAATTGCAGCAGAGATCAGCATCAAGTGAGCATTCCACCATCGAGATCCATGAGGCTATGACCAGGTATTAGGTCGCACACTGTCGGCAATCCTCTGTGTCCTCTTAAATGAGGGTCTTTCAAAATCTTTCTCCCGATGGGGTGTGACTTCGTCCAACAGCCACTATCAAGAACGCTGAAAATCCGCCGTCGTTTCTCGTTGAATAGGAGCGGAAACTTTGCGCCTGCCTTTCCCAAGAAAATGGTACGAACAGTGTCATGGTTCACTGACTCGCTGAACTCTATTATACAGGTTAGACCACGGACCTGTGTTCCAGACCCCGGCTCTCGAAAAGCCTACTGCTAGTCTCGCCATGTGGCGAGTCTTTTCGATGATCAGACGACGCGTGCGTTTGGTGGTTGGTCTCGATTTCCGAGACACCATCAGGTCTCCAGTCCAATCTCGCAACCTCTTTCTTTTGACTGTAAGCCCACGCAGAGTGACCGGCGCCTCGACATCTTTCAAAAATCCACTTTTGTAACTGGTTCCCGACTGCCCACCACCCCACAAACTCAAAACTTTCCCCAAGGTCTCCCCAGGTTTTCTGAACCCACACCGAGAGGATAGCTCAGTTATCCAGCTCAGAGTCTCGAACGCCTCGTGGGCGGTTGTAGCGTGAGAGAAGAAAGTCACAGCGACATCCCATATTGAAACTTGCCCGAAAACCCATTCAACAACAACGCCATCCTCCTATTTTGTTTCGGCCCTACCAGCAGCAATGGTTGATCTATATGCAATGACGACCAACATGACTCGACGAAGTTTACCCATCTCGTATTAATGAAGGATATCATTCTCCAAGCTGCGGAGAAAGTTGATCCAGCAATGGCGGAAACTCTATCAGACAACCAACGACATGGAAGCTTAGTGCGCTAGTATCCTGCCGAAGATCTGGGCAATCTGGGCAAAAAGAAAAATGCTGCAAGGGGATAACCGCGGCCTCGCTTCGGTAGGCAATAGGGGGCAATCGGCATATTGAACCAGATACATTTTAATGGGGCGAGTATTCCCAAGAAATATTAAAGGTCGGGAAGTACCTGGTTGCTCTTCTTTCGCCCTCCCCTAGACAGTTCTACTTATCTTGACTAGTGTCATATTTATCCTGTAAGACCATACCGCCCACCATGGCTTTTGGCACCGAACGTCACTGGAGCGCATGGAACTTCTTCATATGCTGGATGGTCTCCCTGGGGCAGATCGCTTTTGGCTATCCTGCTTCCATCATTGGTGTTACACTCGCCCAACCATCCTTTCTAGTCTATATGGGCCTGCTGGATGTCACACAAGATCCCCCAGTCATGACTCCAGGTTAGGAGACCATGTTTCCAGAACATCATACAGCGAGCTGACGAACGGGCAGGGGCGGATCAGAAGATTGGGGCAATGTCAGGAGTAGGTTGATCCATTTCAATTTCAATGTCAAAATGCATTCGTACAACCGGGTCCCCAACAACTCGGAGCTCAGTCCGATTATCAATGGAATGAAGGGGCGGTTCAAATGCGAAGACCACGATCTGCAATGAGGAACCACTGAACCCACTATTACTTGGAAATCTTCATGACGAATCGAGAACGGATGAAAAGCGACAATTTGCATGCTTGTGCCTTGGCCCATCATCAACACGATTCCGTCGCCGTTGCTCCCCCTCTAGATATCAATTCCGCCAACCTCAGTGCCTAGGCTTCCGTTTCTGTTTCATTTGCCTAACCCATTTTTAGGTATTCCAAGCTGGTGCTGCTATCAATGTCTTTATCGCCGGTTATGTGTCAGACAGGTACGTTTGAATCTCCCAGGCCCCCGCCAGGTGTATCGGCCTACTGACGGCCGCTGGTAGATGGGGACGTAAGGCTGGATTCCACTGGTGTGGCTTTTTGTCGCTGCTCGGGGGTGCGCTGCTTTGCGGCAGCAGAAATTCCACCATGTTCATCGTTGCTCGCCTCTTCGCGGGGGCCGGGAGCTGGGGTTACCTTGCAGTCAGTACGTATTTGACCCCGGTACTATTATGCCGCTCCCTGCTAACTACATCAAGCCCCATATTACTCTGCAGAGTTGGCACCTCCAGGCCTTCGCGGCCTCATGGTGGGCATGAACGGTGTCAATATCGCATTGGGCTATGCTCTCGCCAGCTATATGGGTCTTGCCTTTTACTACGTCGATGATCCACAGACCCAATGGCGAGCTCCTTTGGGAATTGCACTCATTTGGCCAGTGATGATGGTTCTAGTCTGCTTTGTCATCCCAGAATCACCCCGATTTCTCCTCATGAAGGGTCGGATTGACGAAGCGAGGGACGTTGTCTTCAAGCTGCACGCATCTAAGAACGACCCCGATCAAGAATTTGCTCGCGGGGAGTTCTATCAGATGTCAAAGCAAGCCGAGTTGGATAGGACCATGGAACCGGGCTGGGTAAGGAGCAATGTGCCTTCGTTTGATAGAAGAGTGCTAACGGTGCAAGCTTGAAATGATCCGCCGCCCCAGCTACCGCAAGCGTACGATCATGGCCATGGGCTTCGCATTCATTGGCCAGTCGACGGGCGTGTTGGTTTTAAACAACTACGGTGAGCTCGTGCTTGAGGCCTGCCTTGACTTGTGTGTGTCAAATGCTAAGAGTCCCAGGTCCAACCATCTACGCAGCCCTAGGTTACGATACCTTGTACCAACTGATCTTCCAGTGCGGCTGGATTACTGTGGGCATTTTTGGCAACTTGGTGGGTGCCCTGATTATGGATTGGACCGGCCGCAAGCCTCTGCTTGTCATGGGTGTTGCTGGCTGCTGCGTGTCACTCATTCTCGAAGCTGCGATGGTTAGCTCCTACGCCGAGGAGGGGACCAACAAGGCTGGTCTTCGAATGGGCGTTGCGGCTGCGTACTTGTTCCTGCTAGTATACAGCATCGGCATCGACGTCGCCGGTGTTGTCTTCTATTCGGAACTTTTCCCCAACCATCTGAGAGCGAAGGGCCTGGCTCTCAGTATTGCTGTCATTGCACTGACAGACTTGGTCTATCTACAAGTTGCAGCGACAGTAAGTGTTGTTGTCATGTTCGACCTTTTCATCATTGCTAACTTGACCTCTGTAGGCTTTTGCCAACATCGGCTGGAAATTCTATCTGGTCTTCATTATCCTTTCGGGCCTGGGCGCGTTCTTTGCATACTTCTACCTTCCTGAGACGAAGAACATCCCGCTTGAAGAGATGGCCAAACTGTTTGGAGACGAGGTCGCCGTCTACGCGGAAGACCTCCACGTCGATCACCGCACCCACGAGCTCATCGTTGATGAACACGGTCATACCGGTGTGCACAAGGTCGCAACTGAGGCTGGTAACCCGCGACCGTCCACAGGCGGAGACGTGGAAAAACATGGAACTGGCCACGGGGCTACCACTGAGCATGTCGACTCAGAACAAAGTGAAAAGGAATAGGTAAAGGGGTTATGTATCCTTTGGATTTTGATGAACAAGCCGGGCTTGTCCAAAGTAGGCTTTTTGTAGTTGGGGCGGCAGGGCGAAGAGAAATGAAGTGACAGCCGTTTTGAATAGCAATCGAGACTCGCACTACTTTTCTCGATGGAAAAGGAGCGGATAATTCAGATGCTGAGGCACGAACGAAACTTTCTGTAGGAGTAGGGCGAGAGGGCCAAGAATTCTCTCGAACCCCCGAGCCCCCTCGGACCCCCGAAGTCCGTCACGTGTATCTTCTCCCAGCCCACGAGCAGACACGTGCATTGGTCTGCCTCCAACATTTTTAATTTTGTTTCTCGTAAGAGTTCGACACCACGTCTCTACCAACCAACTAGCCCCTCTCCGCTATAATGTCGTGGTTTACATCATGGTTCGCATCTTCGAAGAACACAGAGTCTCATCCGGTCAATCAACCTCCAGTTACTGAGAATCGCGTCCTCGAGGAACCTGTCAAGCCGGCCGAACCCACCATTGAAGCAGCCCAACTCGCTGTACCACAGCCCACGCAAACCGAACGCGTGAACAGAAACAAACTCATTTTCGGAGCTGGCGCCGTATTCTTCGCTTTCTCGCTCCTCGTCACTCGAAGAAGCCTTGCGCGGAAACGGCTGGCTGCTAGCCCAGCCTTCTACGCCAATGCCCCGGGACATCAAGCAGAACAAGCGAAAAAAGTGAATGGTGCCATGGAAGCTGTCGAAGCACTGAACATTGCAACTATCAACGTGCTTAGTCTGACAATGATGGCCACTGGAGGAGCTCTATGGTATCTCGATATCAACAGCTTGGCAGAAGCGCGGAGGAAGTTGAGGGGCGGACTGGGTATTGATGGGACAGGCAAGTCTGAAAAAGAAGCAGAGGAAGAGTTTGAAGAGTGGATGGCGACAGTGCTAGCCCGGAAAGAAGCAAAAGGACTGCGACCTACACAAACGAATGAACGGGGCCAGGAGAGGTGACTGCCCCCAGGAGAGAGGCTTATGAGATGTCAAAACTGCGGACAACGAGAAAGAGGAAGCTGTCGTCCCCTACGTCTTCACTCGCATCAGCGCGGCATGCTGTTGCTGGCGCCAGGAAACGGAGAAGGCCAATGGAATCACAACCCATCCAGAGTGAATTTCGCTCTGTTTAGATGGATACTCGATCACGAAGGTGTATAGCACGAAATGCAAGCATCGAATCCCGACGCAGCAGCCGCACCCTCAGAGACGCGAACTCACGACCTACAAATGTACAACCACTCAGCTTTGATTCAGCGCATGTGTTTTTACCTCTAAGAGTATCGAGCAATGTCTTATTAAGCACAGTCTCTGTCTCTTAGGTCGACGGAAGATGGGCCCTAGATATACGGACACAGCTGGAGATCTACTGGTCAATAAATATATGAACTACCTCGGCTCCAACACAAATTTTTGGCTATAATTTTTTGCCGATAACCTAGTCTTAGTTCAAAATAGCTGGGTTGGGTCATTCATGAATTCATGTCTTTTAAAATCATGGAAAGTCACGCTGGACGTGTATGGAGATTTTGCGGGGGGACTGACCTCTACAGTGATCGAAATGCCAGAAGCTCGCTGGGGTTGACGTCCGTTTGAAAGATGAGATGGCCAAGGCCCGCTCTTGTGTGGAGCAGTAGATGCAGTAGTCGTCATGGATACAAGCGACAGATCTGGTATTCAAAGTCTATTTTATTTCTCTTGTGTCTACAACATGACCCGTAACACTCCCTTTCATGTCATGCTTTCGGTCAGATGTATCGTTATTGTCGACATCAGTTGATGCACTGCCTCCATAACCAGAACCGGTGCCTCCCCCTCGCCGCGACGATGAAGAGCGGCCACTCCGACAGCCCGATGGAGGTGTTGATATCACCAGTCAATGCAGCAGCCATGAGACGCATCGGATCCAATTCGGTGCGGACGATGAAGAGAACCCCAAAGCCTGGAATGGTCGGAAGAAGATGCTCAACGTGGGCACTATCTCATTGTTGGCTTTCCTGAGTCCCTTGTCCGAAGACCGGGGCCGGCGGACGTTGTACGTTTGCTGTCTTGCCGCATTCACGGTCCTCCAGGTGGCATCGGCGTTGAGCCCGAACATTCAGACGCTGATTGCCATGAGGACGGTTTCGGGCTTCTTCGGCAGTGAGTGACAATTATGACCATGGGGGAATCTGTAGAATGAATGAAAAACACATGGCTGATGGGTACTGCAGGTGTCGGAATCGCCAATGGAGGAGGAACCATTTCGGACATGTACAATCCATTTGAACGGGCGGGAATCTTTGGATGGTACCTCCTCGGGACCCTTTTAGGTGACTATACAAGAACCACAAGAAGGTCTGAGATGTGACTGACAGCATGTTAGGACCAACCCTTGGACCACTGTTCGGAGGAGTCATCATCAGTCGCTTGGGGTGAAGATGGATATACTGGGTGAGCTCAGGAATTTGGTCAATCTAGACATAAAAGGAGGCTCGCATTGATTTCACAGACTAATGACTTGGGTTGAGTCCAGTTTCTCACCATCGTCTGCGCCATTAAGACAGCAATTGGCTATCTCTTCCTCAAAGAGACCTACGCACCTGTCCTACTAGGTCGCCGCAAAGCCGAGCTTGCCCAGCAGGACTCCCAGGGCTCAGGAAAGAAGACGAGATACTACTTTGACGGCGAAGACAAAAGACCGTTGCCCAAAACAGAGCATCTACTCGAAACCGCCCTACAATTTCAGCTCGGAGCAAATTGGCCTCTTATATCTAGGAGGAGGACTGGGATTCTTGACCTCGGTCCGATTCCTCGTCCCACGCATCGACACCGTCTTCAACAAACTGACTGAGAAGCATGGCGGCAAGGAGCTCCCAGAGCATCGTCTACCGCTGGCCAGCGTCGGCAGCATTTTGATCCCAGTGAGTCGCTTCTGATTCGCATGGACCGTGCAGTTCCGCGTCCACTGACTGGCGAGTATTGCCGCGACATACTTCTGCGGCGTGGGCCAAGTGGTGGTCTTCAACTCCGTGCAGAATTATTACATTGATTCGTTCTCGACTTACGCTGCCTCGGCCATCGCAGGGGGATCTGTATTTCGGAGTCTGCTGGGCGGTTTGGTGCACCTAGTCGCGCCGCTCCTGTTTGAAAAGTTGGGCTATGGATGGGGAATCAGTTGCTTTGGGTTTCTTACGGTCTTGATAGCGCCGAGTCCGCTGTTGTTTTATTATTTTGGCGGCTGGGTAAGGGAGAGGTTTCAGATCACTTTTTGAGGCAGGCCTGGAACACGGCGATCGTGGTTCAATTTCAGATGAAGTCATCATGCAGCATGCATGAAGAACGCCGACCACGAGGGAACCGCTCGGAGGTTTCTGGCGAGGAGTGGTTGGATGAGGCCGGGCGGGAAGAGCCCAAAATTCCCGCTGGGAGGCTTCTAGGTGGTTCACTAGGCCGTCTCTAGGCACCCCTAGACAAAGCTAGGCAGCGCTAGGCTTCTGCACCAACCGTTGACCCCCGGCGCTGGTTCGTGTTAGCGAGTGATTAGCCTCTCGCCCACCACTGTGTTCCCCCGTCAACCCTTCCACGGGCCGCATTGTTTATCATCAGCTCTAGCACCACCAGAGCCTTGCAATCGCGCATCAACATCCTCGCCAGCCAGTCGTCACGCATGGAGCCCCGGGAAAACTCCATCACATGAACTCACCGCCTGCTCCAGCTTTCAACGTGGTCTGTTCTCATGCGTCGGCGCACTGACACCGGCGCTCCCTCGCTCACTGCTGATGCTGGCTAAGCGAAGGATGCTTGTCCCAGTTACCTGCTGAAAGGGCCCTTACCAGCCGGACGTGGTAGAGGCGCGTTGATATCTGCAGGAATGTCTGCCTATCAGCGGCCTGGACACTGGGGCTGCAATCGTGATTTGCCTGGCTAGCAAAATTCGAGTGCATGACCCAACATCTGGCGGCATCGTCCTGCTGCTGACCCTTGGTTCCATTGGATATCGGTCGACTTTGTTGTTTTGCAAATCCCCTATTAGGCTTCGCCCAGCAGTGCGTGCGTCGAACATCGATAGAAAATCCATATTTATGTATGCTGTCCTCGTGCTCAGAGGCGCAGAAGCCCGCCTTTTTTTTGATGCGAGTCGAAAAGGCGGGCAGGCAGGTTGCAGGTTCCCAGAGTGAATTGAAAAGGTCTGCGGTGTCTCTGGGCTGCGGTCCTGCGTCCTGCCTCACCACGCACCCCTGGGAGTCCTGCGCCTTTTTCACAAATCTCATCCAAAGGAAAAGAAAAAAAGAAATTCAATCTTATTTTCCCATCACCCACCACCATTGACTAGTACCGTGTCCTTTCTGGACCATTTCCCAGGATCCTGGTTGCCTGCCCGCCGGAAAGTGACCCCGACGCCCTCGAGGGCCTTTCCTCCCGCTTTAGCGCCATCACACTTCAAGAACGAGTCCACCCTTCCACCTTGTTCCCTGCTTGTCGAGTCTCGAGGGCTCCAAAGTCAAATCACATCAGTTGTCAGTGCCAGGACCGCCAGTCGCTGCTTGTTTCTGCGCTTTCACCTCCTGTCCTGCTTTTGTTTTCCAGACCCTACCTTACACCGGCCAAGTGGCTTTCTCAGACACTCGAAATCTTGAACACCTCCCTCTCGACCGTCAATTCCACTTGCAGACCCCAAAAATAAACGATACGGTCAACAACGACCCCTGGTTCCTCACGCATCGGTGCCTTTTCAGCCTCCGACAACAATTCGGACCCGTCTCCTGTCATTGGAACTGCCCTCTGCGCAGTCCAGCAGCTGCTAATATGAAAAAGAAGGCCTTAGCACAATTACGACGGACGATACACTTGTGCTTGGAGAGATAGGAAAAAATTTAAAAACCACCAGAGGGCTCTGCTCTCATGGAGCCACCTCCGCCTCCGCCGCCACCGCATGGCACAAATCCTCAAGGCGGTGGCAGGTCTGGAGGTCTCCCTGACGGCAGATACGACATTTTTGTCATCCCTCCACATTCCTCGGGCTCGGGCTTCCTATACCTCCCTTCGCTCCAGACACACCGCAATTCGTTCTTGGCAGGAGTCTTCTGCACCGCAGCCTCCTTCTTCATCTACTACACCGCTGTGCCCGTTGTCAAGGAATGGCTATTAAGCACCATCAACAGTGGTGGAACGGGAGTCTTCACACTCATTTGTGGTGTTGCAGTGGTGGCCTGGGCATTTGGAAAGACTCAGAGTGAATGGCAAAGCTATAGCGGATTTAATCGTGGAGGTACTGATACGGGTTCTGGCGGCCCAGGTCATGGTGGCTACGGCAACACTGGATCTTACACACAACCTGGACCCCAATCGCACACTCAACCCCCTCCGCCGCCTCCCCCTCCAAATCCCGGAGCAACTGGCCCTCCTCCACCTCCGCCTAACCATGGAACAAGCAGTCCTCCTCCCCAGTCATCGTGGCAGAGACCGCCACCCCAGGCCAATACCAAAGCTAATACTACGAGCGCTAAGTCAAGCTGGGAGAAGGCGAGAGAAGAAACGAGAAAAAGAGAGGAAGAGAGGAAACGAGCCGAGGAATTGAAAAGACGAAGGGAGGAATTGGAAAAGGAACGACAGAGACAGAAGGAGGAGTTGGAGAAAGAGCGACAGAAGCAAGAAGAACTAGAAAAGGAGCGGCAGAGGCAGAAAGAAGAACTGGAGAAGGAGCTCCAGAGGCAAAAAGAAGAACTAGAGAGGGAACGGCAGAGGCAGAAGGAGCATCTAGAGAGGGAGCGGTTGAAGCTCAGAGAAAAAGAGTTGCTAGAGAGACTCGAGCGCGAGCGCAAAGAGAAGAAAGAGCGCGAAGAAAAGGAGGCTGCTGCAAAAGCTGCCGCCGCCGCCGAAGCTGCAGCTGCAGCGGCTGAGAAGGAAAAACAAGAGCAGGCTGCCCGAAGCCCCCCCAAGCGTCCACCCATGCCGACAGCGACCACGGAACGAGACGATGATGCATACTCCTTTAGACCCTACGACCGACCGAAACGAACACACAAAGCCAATTCTGCGGCTTCGATGTACTCAGAATCATCGTATGCCCCGTCAGAAAGCACCGCCAAAACCACACCGCCGCCTTCAGTGCGTGGGCCTTATTCGACCAAAGACCCTGACAAGATCATCATCAAGGGCGTCTTTTCCTTCAACAATGCCTTCATGCGAACCCCGATTTCCCAGCTGGTATCTGGACAAGGTAACGTCACAGACGGACTGATTTTGCGGATCACGACCGAGGGCCTATTCATCGACGACGACGTACGAGGAGTGCCACAGCGTGAGTGGGATGTTAAGGCCTGGACGATGAAACTGGCAGAGGTATGGTGTCCCAGTCTTTCTTGCTTTAAAAATATGGATTCGTGCACCCCCACCCGGGAGTTTTACCCGGGATTCGGATTGAACGCCGACTCGAGGCGGGAACCCCCTTCACCTTCGGAGAAAGAATCAACAGCTTTTGTCAATAAGCTATTGGATACCTGCCGAGGGGTGTGCATGAAAAGGTCCTCTGGCTCTCGATCTCAGAGTCGCTTCTCATGTTCTTCGTCGACCACAAGGTCAACTGCCTCAACTGATACTGACTCTACAATCACAGAGCTGCGAACTCTCCGGTCTTCACGTCCTCCGCGCTAGCATTCGCGATCAAGAAGGCAAGAAATACGTCTTCATTCTGTCTCAATCCGAGGGGTGGAAAGTCGCTGTTGGTCTTCAGCGGCTAAGAAGGGGAACGCAAGTCCGCGCGCTGGGTGTCGCTGGGTTGCCGATGAACGAGGCCAAGGCAATTCTGGAGAATCTGGGGTTTGCGTAGGTTCTGGACGGTTGATGAACCGAAGCCAGCGTAGGAGCGAGGACGTGCTGTGAAAGGAGACAGCCGTTGATTTGATGAGCGTGCATGTTGTGATTTTGTCCAAAAGCTCTCTCTGCACAGTGTTGGATATGCTTCGGTCAGTGAAGCGTTGCGAGTTTTGAGCAAAGATGGATTGAGCGAGATTAGCGAGTCGAGTTCCAAATGCATCAGCGAGGGAGTTCACATTGGAGACTGACGCCGACCTCGACTGTACATACATTCAAACGCAGGTATCCCCCCTAGTATCGTCGTTGAATAATGAAAGCTTTGTGATGTTAATATTCTCGCTGTGCCCTGAATTTGTAGGCTGGAGTTGGTCATCTTGGGCCTCCTAGGAGCTCATTGTATCTCCCTATGCCCGCCGGAGTGGTTGCCTTCAGCTACCTCACGCGCAGCTCTACCGCTTATAACGCTCTATCACCTTCTAGAGAGTTAGCGAGATTGGCCACTAGCCCGTGGGTGCCGTTGGTACGAATACGATGTCTGTGGCTTGCCAGGAGTATGACGTTGGCAGAAGCTCTAGACGGAAGCAGGGGGCCTGACCTGTGCTGCGGGAACAAGAGCACCATGAGGTTGGGCCTTGAGAGCCTATCAATTCCCGTTTCCTCCTTGGTGGGCATGGGACGTGCATGAAGTCGGTAACGTCTTTAGGGAGCGCGCAGTCGGAAGTCGAGGATAAACAAGGATGGAGGAGGCGGTGGAGGCGGTGGAGGAGGGGAAGGGGAGAGGGGGGGTGTCAAGGGGGCCCTCACTAGGCGCAGCTGGCACTGTTCCAGGTTTCTTTGGTGTCTGCCTACACCAACTAATACGGCATCACATCTCACATCTCACACCTCGCAGTGACCCCATTTCGACTCCCTTGGATATGGATGATGATACAAAGGTAATCAATTTTGATATCGGACCAATGATTTTCTGACTGTCCTTTTTGTCTCCTACCACTTCGACCAGAGCATCTATCTCTTAAACGTCCCTTCTCCGGTCTCAATGTGCTGGGTCAAACCCCGCTTTTTGGATCAGTAGCTGGCACACAGAACTTCTCTACCATGACCATCCGCAAACAATACCCGCCTCGCAGCTACGAGACATTCCCTGACGACAATGACGATAGCATCACCCAGTCTCCCACGTCCTACCAGCGTGGAGGGGATGCAGACAAATCCCGATCCGCTGCGGCCGAAGCCCAACGACTTGGGTCTCAAGGTTCATGGGCCGACAACTTTGCTGGCGGCACTCCTGCTACCAACAGAACTCCAACAGCCTCAGCCGTGGATGGTGACGAAGTGAGGGATCTTAGATATCCGCCGCACCTTTCATCAGACGGGGATCCATCGGATCCGCCCCCAGTCTATACCCCCTCCGCCAGCACTCAAGTTGGATCTCAATCGCCTGCGGCACCAGCCTCTCCCGTGGCTGCAAGACCGAATCTATCTCCAGTACCAGAGCCAGTAAGCGCTTCTGCCACAGCGTCCTGCCCTTCCAACCCACAATCCTCCCCATGCCCGTTCCGAGACAATGATGAAGAGGAGGGTCCATCGTCCATGTCCGAAACTGTCCCGCATGATCATCACTCTCGACACCATGACCATCACCACTACCACCACCATCATGATCATCACCAGCACGAAGAGGATGCAGACTCAGATAGCCTCCCCGTGTTCCTGCAACAGCATCCACGCCATAAGAGGACATGGTGTCGGACACCTGGAAAAGCGCGAGGCTGCGGTGGTCGCGGCCGCGGTATGCGACACTGCAGTCGTGACAAAGGTCGAGCACGCCGACTCAAGCGGACAATTTTCTTCCTCCTGGCCCTTCTTGCCTGCCTATGGCTTTTGATTCCGGGTTTCTGTCGATCGCTCAAGAATGTACATGGCCTGTTTCTTTCTATCCATTCTTTCTGGGATATTAACGTCTAAACGATGTACAGGTGCTAATGTTTCTCTTGGCACAGGATGGACGGTACCAGCTTCCGAGCTTTGGCCCACACCCGTCTCAGGCACCCTGGCCTCCTCCAAAACGCGAGCATCGTGAGCATGAGACCTTCCGCTCTATCAGCGGTACCTACCAGCTCTACGATCTGCTTGATCTTTCCACCACAGCTGGCAGCATCACGGTTACCGTCGAGGTTCAACCGGGAGATAAACCAGCAGTCCTTCGTCTGTCCACCACGGCAGGGAGTGTAAACGTGAAAATGATATCTGGAGGCGGTTTCTTCACGAAACCCACCATCCCAGACGCTGCGAAGTCAAGGACTCTGGTGACGGAGATCTCTACGGGCGCGGGTAGCGTCTCCGGAAACGTGGTTCACGGCAATGGTGGATCAACTTCCATCGCCACAAATGCGGGGTCCATCTCGTTGACCATATATGCTGTCGGCGTCTCCGAGATGGATCCGCAATCGAACATTTCTACTATCTCCAACCAAGGCAGCCAGCATATCAAGGTTGTCCCGAGCTTGGGCTCGACTGAGGCGATCCGTGCCATCGAAGCCGTCCACACTGTACGTGGTAGTGGAAGTATGAATATCGCCTATCCGCCTCAGTGGGAGGGTATGGTTCACCTGTCGACTTATGGGATGGGGAGTATTGGTGCCAGCGGAAATGGACTGGTGGTCCGAAAAGAGAGCAGTCGCGAGTTGTACGGGTATAGAGGCGCGACGCAGGGAAGGAAGGTCGAGATCTCAGAGCTCGGAAATGGAAGCGTCAAGTTTTCGTGCTAATTTCATGATTCAGCGCCGGCTAGGAGGTATCTGTCTGAGTTCTCCTCACCCCTTATACTAATTGCTGCTTCAAGCGCTCGTCGAGCGGGACTGGAGAATACCGAATGATGGATATGTCCCATCTTGTGGACCCCATACTATTGAATACCGGAGATGCCTTGGTGGGGTGGTATGTAATGCATCCCGAGATCCAAAACGGCGAGGCGAGGTAATGTCTTGATTCCACTCTTTTTCGGGCGGGGACGCGAAAGGAAACAAAGGGAAGCCTCCGAGGTGGACGACGGGCTAGGGCTTCAAGAACTGAAAAACGAATCAGCTGGCGTGGTGTTTGACATAGTATTGTATACGTACAAGTGATCTCAAATGATACCTATATTACATTTCATACAGCCCAAAAAATGGGAAGTGGAAGAGGAGGAAGAAAAATACAACGTGTGAGAAAGAGCAGCTTATTCCTTGAGAATTTCCTTTCAGCTGCGCTTCCAGTTTGAATGATGTACATATTGGCCCCAAATTCCCCCTCCTGACCCTAGCCTGTGTCCTACCTTTGCCGTTGTCTTTATCCTTGCCCTAGTCCTTCGTCTTGTTCCCGACCCTCGCAGTCTAACAGATCCTTGAAGCCTCATTCGTAGTCTACACATACAAACCCCCTCAAATGGCGTCCAAGTACCCCTTCGTCCTCATCTGCCTCTCAGTCCAGTCCCATAGCCTGCTTGCCAGCGTCCCCTCGGGGTCCTGTGCCAGTTTGCTAGGCGCCTTGCGCTGGCCGACGGGCACGAAGTAGCCTCCGGAGATGGCCTCCGCGCCCTCGCCCGTGCCTGCAACGGCCCATAGCGAATTGTAGCTCCCTTGCTCCGGGGTGATGTACGCGCCCATGCAGCGCAGGATAGGGGTGAGCACGGAGCCGCCCCGGGCCCGGGTGTTGAGTTGCGTGTCGATGTTGCCTGGGTGCAGGGAGATGGCCCAGATGTGGGGTTTGGAATTGGGGTTGGGGTTGGGCTGCTCGTTCTTGTGGTTGTCGTTGTACCGCGCGTGCAAGGCGTTGGCGTGCAGGATATTTGCCAGCTTGCTCTGGGCGTAGCGGCGGAAAGTGAAGGCGTCCTTGAGGCCCGTGTCCTCGAACCGGATGCCGTCCTTGAACGTCGCGGCGTGGCCCATGGAACTGACGTTAACCACGCGCACGGCCCCCTCCTCGCCAGCAGCCGCGGCGGTCGACTCTAGCAGCGGCAGCAGGTGGTATGTCAGCAGCCAGTGCGCGAGGTAGTTCGTCTGCCACTGCGACTCGTAGCCGTCCTCGCTGAGCTGGTACGGCGTCGCCATGATCCCCGCCGAGTTGACGATGCCATGCAGTTGCGCGCACTCGGCGCGGATGCGTTTGGCGCCCGCCACGACGGACCGCAGCGACATCAGGTCCATCACGACGAGATAGATCCTCGATTCGAGATCCGGGTGTGTCTTCTTGATCGACTCCTTGATCGACGATAGCGCGGACGCTCCTTTTTCGGGTGATCGTGAGGTCATGTACACGGTTGCGCCGTGCAGGGCTAGATGGTGCACTGTCCAAAATCCTATGCCGGTATTGCCGCCTGTCACTAGATACGTACGTCCATCTAGCGAGGGTAGAGAGTCTGGCGACCAGTTGAGACGAGGGGACATGTTTGGGGCCTAGGGTAGTTGAACGGGAGGATAACGCAAGGTAAAACTCGGTGACGCGCTCGGTGCAAGTTCTGCTTCTGCCGCCGCGGTTGACGGTGATGGTGATGGCGATTGTGGTTCATCCTTGCGAGCATACCAGTACCTCCCGACTTTATATGTCGTGCAATTCTTCTCAAGCACGTTCCAATTCGAGCGAATTGTGGCTATGGACCTTGCGACTGTCGCAGAACCGCGCTCCTTCATGACGTATGTGGATGAAGTTGGATGAAACGGGATACAGCCTCGTTATAACATAATACCGCTCACGCTACTTGCAGGGAGGACAGCCATAGGGAGCGAAGTTGATCCGTTCCGACTGTCGCTGTGATTGGGTTTTAACGAAAATCCGAAGATCCACTTGTCAGCCGCCTGCATGAGGTTGGGACCGTTCGTCCAATCAGATCTTCCGTTCCCCCCAAAATGCTGACATAAATGCTCTGGTGTTTCTGGGCGGCGCCACCATCGTGTTCCTTGCAGTCTGGGGCATCTGTCTCCATGTCAGCAAGATGCAGTTAAAACACTGAGTTCTTCCACTTTCAACGCATCAGACCCCGTCTTCCACATCTTCCAGTGAGAGCAGAGCATAGTACAAGATACTCCGTAGCAGGAACAAGGGACAAGCCATGTCACTTCCACCTGGTCTTCGCGCCGAATTGAAATTGCACCCAGATGTGCAGTCGCTAGACGAAGAATGGTCTGGGATCACAGACCCTGTGATTCGTCGGAAGCTTCAGAATCGGTTAAACCAACGAGCTGCAAGTGAGTTTAGGACTTGTTTCCCGAGTGCGGTGGCGTGCTGTACCTGCCATGCGGACCGCTGACCTATCGAATAGGACGACGCAAGGCTGCACAGAACAAGGGTGGGGAGGACGCCTCGTCAAGCAGTAGCTCGTCTCGAGCTGCAGGGCTCAAAGATGTTCCCCTGGTGGACCGGGCCGGTCTTAACGACCTCATGGTATTGAGGAGCAAGAGGGTCAGCCGTACCGAATGGCACACTGCCCTCCAGCCACCCGACCCCGCGAATCGGTCACCGTTTGTCTCCATACGGAGCAAGAATGCCTGTCAGCGATGGTACGAGGTGCTTCTCGAAAATCGGCTGGCTAGCATCAAGGAGATGGCGGAGAAGTTGACGAAGGACCAAGACAATGCTTGGATGTATCCGCTTCCTTCCGATCACCTGATCTCCCTGGTCTATTACAATGTATACCGAGCACTCATCTCAAACACCCATATGCTGGGTCTTGACCTGAATCTGATGTACCTCGACGACTATCCCTCGCCGTTCCTGCCCATGTCACAAAGCGCCACCTCAAACATAAGGCACCTTCCACCCTCACTCCAGCCGACCGAATTGCAAAAGACCATGGCACATCATCCAATGTGGGACATATTTCCTGATCCTGAAATCAGAGACAATATCCTTCGATACGGGGAACAGAATATTGACGATCTACAATTATGTCTCGACATGGTCGGGGATGGCAACTACACTGGCCTGGAAGACCTCGACTCCCAACAGACGAATGGGCTGATTGTGTGGTCGGAACCATGGGATTCTGAGGGGTGGGAAGTGACAGAATCGTTCACGCGCAAGTGGCCTTTCCTTCTCAGAGGGGCAATCAACGTCCAGAAGTCGACCAACAAATGGAGAATGCGCCGAGGGGAGAGCCCTCTAGACTTTGAGAGGATTCTGGAGATTGAGTGAAGGTGCACACGATATTCGGCGGCAATGGCTGCCACCGCAAAACCATGTCAACGGCTGAACAACAGCCCTCAAACGGCTCGTCGAGACAGGGTGGGCAATTGAGAGCTCCTCAACGGTCGTCTCTTCAGATAGGCCGGCAGCCTATAGAGCCTCCAGTCATCATACCGCAAGCAGAGGGTACCACTTGGCGTGCAATGCGCCAGTCGCAGGCCGAGACGACGACAACAAAACGTGTGAAATTACTATTCCTGCCGCCGGGTGCGGTCCCTTCCACCCGCCGGCGGGCATCATGTTGTCCCCGATCGTACAGAGGTGCCATGGCTGGACCGTCCTTTCAGGGTGGGAAGAGAAGCGCACGTTTGATGATTAGTAGGCCATGGTTTCTTGAGGCATAGGAAGAAGGTGTTTTGCTCCTTTTTGCACGCAGGGAGAAGACTGGCGTACCTTGGCAACTTCTGCAGCTGCCTTCCTCTTGAAATATCTAATTCCTGTATAAAGCCAAGTCTCTTGTTTACAGGCGGAATTGCCTCGGTATAGAATCAACCAAGCGACCCGTTCCGAAACTGATATTAAACGCGATTAGTCTTTCGTACCGCCTAGATTACTCAACAACGCACGTAACTAATTGCCACATGCAGTTTGATCTTAGAAGATGAGCCAAGCCTAGCCCAGTGAGCCCGCTTTGACCAGAACATCGCACTGAGCTGCCAAGGGCCCTTAGTTCCTGCATTATGTAACCTACTTGGGCCGACTGCATCGTCAAAGGCCAGGGGTTATTATCTGACTTTCAAGTGAAGAGCCGGTCCTAAGGCCAGCGAGAGCTCCCCAAGAGCCAAGGATTTGAATAAACCCATCGAGTATAGAGACGTGCCCCCCGTCATATTTGTGTTACTGCGGTTCCCTACGTCACAACCCTCGGGCAAGAAGAATCAAGTGGTTGACAACACTTTACACTGCAGTCAAGGCATGTGTCGAGGCGGGTGACGACAGGCCGACCTGTAACTCAAGTGAAAAATTTGAATGTGCTCATTTTGGTCACATTTAATAATCCCAATACGGAGGCTTAACGTTGGCCTTGGATCCAGATTTGTAATGTCTATCGTGGAGGGCGTAGGCAAGACGAACGTTGCAGTTCTATCGTGGGAGCAGCTGACGACCAATGATCCAGCTGAAGAATCGAGGACGTACCTCGGACTGCCACCGGGCAAGGTTGGAAACTTCGACACGATTAATGCAAGTCACAGGGAATTCTCTTGTGCCCCCAGCAATCACTGAAGAATAAAACCTAGAAAGGCGTTATCGAGTATCAATTTCGTTCCAGGATCCAATTACCGTGGTAGCGACAAGAATTCATCCCCGAAATCCCCACTGCAGATACTGCGGATCCACCTCGACGGTGGTCGTACCGTTGCCTAGTAAATATGAGCATGCCTGGAATGTATTCTAAGCGTAAGACCTCGTCGCCATTGGCAAGACTGAGTATTTGAGGAAAACCGTTTGATCATACTGAGTCGACATCACCCACGCGGACCTAGGAACCTTATGGCCAACAACTTGCAAAGCAATTTCAAGGGTGTCCGAGACCGTAAATTCCTGAGGTCCCTTTCTCATCGGGATGGACTTGATGTGATTGAAGAGAGAATGGTATACATTAGAGTCAGGACCGAAATAAATTTGCACTGCCTCTGGGTCGGCCGCGTCGAGTAGAGAAATAACCAACATGCGCGTCGTACCTCGTACATTTACTGACCTCGATGATAAAGGTCTTGCACAGGCAAACCCCGTGCAGCCGTCTGTCAGGCCCTTTGCATAGGGCAAAGCTTGGACGCATGCTCGGTGCATTAGGTCTTTGGAGTCCCAAACAGTTTCTGGAGGACTGTTTTGCCGTAAGTGCTCACACTGACGAGTTCCTTGAATCCATCAGTGGTCTGCACCGGATTCTCGATTGTTCCTGTGTAGTTATGGAGGTCAATTCAGACTTCTTGCATCTTTCGGGTATTTCTCAATAGCCTGAGGACAACTCGTGGATCCTCGTCCGAGGCAAAAGACCGTCCATCGCGGAAATCAATGGGAGGAGGCACGCCGAAATGTAAACAACGCGGCGAAGGGAGAAAAGAGCGCAAGGCTAAGGCAAAAGCACAAAGTAGCCTCGATCTCCATTCCTGCGGCTGGTCGGGAATTGGGAGCTTTCTGTGTGGTTGACTGTCCATGACCATGAGCGGAAGTTTCTCTATCTGAACGGCTTAACCATGGGGATTTGAGGTAGGAATGGATTGCTGGAGATAGGACAAGATAGTCAGCCGAAGGGGCAGGCATGTAGATATGGCAGAAAGAATTCTCCAGTGGAGTCTAATTGTTCGAAATTCTCAGTTCCAGCCAAAGAGATTGTTATCTGACTCGCTGTTTGAAAACGTATACTCCTGTGACTCGCCATCCTGTCCACTCCTGTCTAGGGAACTGCGATCTTCGCCGCCGTCGCCACCGTTGCCGCCTTCGTCCGTCTTGGACGCGACTAAGAGGGCGATGCGTTCGACATCTGATGGCTTGTCCCATCAAAGGCTGCACATAACGTCGGCACATACCACGTATGTCGTGGTGGAAATCTCGAGATGCGATGATGGAAGGCCAGCCTGAGCTCGACCGATGCATTGAATGAGAAGCCACGTTGAATGTAGAAGAGCAAATGCTTTGGTAAATGCATCTGACTCCCCCAGGCTGTCGATGTCATCCCGAGAGAGGAAGAATATCCTTCGCTGCGTGGGACTGGACTTAAGCGGGAGAAGAATTAAGCGCAAAAGCAGCAGAATAGATAGGCAAGTCCACAAAATATTGAATGTGCCGCGTTGGCGAGGGGGTGGAACCAGCCGACTATATTTTCAAGCATGCGTTTGACGAAAACGAGGCATTCAGTGGTCCAGCTTCAGCTTCCATCATCCTTTCTAGTGTTGTTGATGAGGATTATATACAAAGAAAGCCGTGAGCTCGACATGCGGTGGAGGGAAACATTCGAGCTGGTCTTGCAGCATGTATATATGTCTTGCACAGTGAGGAAAATTAGTCACTGTATTCGCTGGTATTGCAGCAACCTTAGCTGAGGAAGCGTCGCCTGGTTGGGCGTTCATATAGGTGGCGACTTCGCGAGCGAGGGACAACGTACGTTTATCCAAGAGAATTAGCTAGAAGCCGCTCTTCTCTTAGGCCTTCGAACGAAGTAGGTAGGAATCCACCACTGGCGCGCGAGAGGCCACTACAGGAG